CACACACACACACACACACACACACACACACTTTTACTATGAAACATTAGTTCAGGCAGCGCAGTTTCTCTTTCTTTGTGAACGAATCCAGTCCACTTGATTAATAGGAGAATACTTAATCTAATAAAACTCCACTCCAGGTTTTCCTGGTTACCTCCAACTCTCCACCATCGCTTCCTGCCTCTTGCCTTGGCAGAAAACGCGCACAGGTGGAGGAGGTGGATGTACCTCTGTGTTACTCGCTCGCCAGTTTAGCAGCTTAGTGCGGGCAGTGGTTGACCAGGGGGTTGATCATCAACATATATTCATGTTAGGAGGATGCTTGAGAGCAGTGCTACGTCTGTAGCATTAGTTTAACAGTAACTGTGAGGCTGCAGGTGTAAGAGACGCTGTGTGTTCAGGTGCATTAAAGTTGAAATGTCTTTAAAACCCCACACCTTATTGTCCTCAAGATTCATGAGAAACACCATTTCAGAATCAGAATGCCTTTATTGTCATTATACGCAGTACAATGAAATTAAGAGCCACTCTTAGCCACATTTAGATGAGTAGTGTTGAACACAAGTAAAAAAGTCCAGTGGTGATGATTTTTATTTCCCTATGAAGACGAATAGTGCCGATCTGACGCTCTGTATTAAAGTGTATTAAAGTTAAAATGTCTTTAAAACCTACAGCTGAATTTACACAAACTTGGTGAGAAACATGTTTTAAGTGTGTGGAATTAAAGGAAATCTAGGTGAAATGTTGCTTTTTTTGTTCACTAGTGAACACCTTTTTTGACGTGCGCACACACTTGCATGTTCACACACGTGCACACACACACCTACACACATCATTGTGTCCCCCCCACATTGCGGATGCTTCTGACGCCTTTGGGAACACCACCTCAGAAAAAGAACACCGCCTCAACTCAAACAAACAAAAACATTTCACCTCACCTTAAACAAACATCATTCATGTGTTTTGTGTTTGAAAACTGTTAAAAATAAGATTCATCTATTCCCTTGAGAACAAACGGACATTATTTTTGCAGATGTTCAACTCAACTCACAAACTTCTCAGTTGACACTAATGTAATAATAAAAAAAAAACTGTCACGGTGTTAACTTCACTCCCAATATGAACTCATTTCACATGAAATGGACAGATCGTTTTAATGAGAGCTTTTGGTTCAACTGACCTCGAAGTTTGAAACCTCTGAACTCGCTACTTTGATATCTTCCTTTATCGAAAAGGAGTACTCCTCCCAGAATGGTTCCCATGAAGATAACGCCATAAGCCCTTTGTTTAATGACATTCTCTTTTCAGGGATGGACAGCGACACATTTTGGTGAAACACTGCATGTTATTAATTCCAAGATATCATTTCTGTTTTATTTTATACCTGATTATTTGTTCATGAAAATGTGTGTTTTAAGTCATCTTTCTTCAAGATAAAACAGTCTTATTTTCTCTTTTAAAAGGAAAAACTTTTAAGGCAGAGAGAAAAGTGGACTTTAGATTTTATTTAACAAAGCCAAGAGTTAGGACCATCCCTCTACCGAGAGGTGGACCTTCATCTCTAAAAACACAGACCGTTAAGTTTCACTTCTGACACTACTTTTTCACAAGCACATCTACTTCTACATCATCTTTCACCACACACTTCACTGAGGCTCTGTCTCAGAAGACTTCACGGGAGTTTTGGAGAGAAAACTCCAGAGAGAAACACACTTCTGCACAAGAGAACTGGAGAGATGAAACCCAGTTTCTGCACTGGACTCGGAGAGGAGAGAAGCATCCTTTCTGCAGATGTCTCAGGACGAGAGAAAGACACAGAACCTGACCGAACCAGAACTATCACACCGCAGTGTGGTAATTCCCAGCTGACTCCCATATGGACCCTCGTCCCTCTAAGATGACAGGTGAACTTTGATGAAAAATCAGCCTCTCAGTCACCAGAACATCTGGGCTGGTACCATTTTTAAGCAGCTGTTGGACCATTCCCGACCATCTCGTTCTGGTAGGACAAGAGACTTTTAATACCTTTCTGGTGATCATACATCACAATAATCTTATCAGACAAACTACCGCTCACCTTAGACACAATTTTTAACCACTTCACAAAACAGTAACCAGTCCAAAATCTGCCTTTTAAGTTTCCACATCAATTAGACCTTTGATGCAAAACTATTTATTCACTTAACTTTTGTTATGTATAATCGTCATCACGTATATCATAGATTATTATTTTTATAATACATAAAACCAACTGAATTTGTGATTATTTTGTCATATCTGTGTGTATTAACTGATTTGATGCCCTTTAAACACGAGAAAATAACTCACGTTTCAGTTTACAATAATTTGGGGTTAAATAGAGACTGATTTTTCCTCTCAAAGAGAGGTGGTGCCCACACAACGAGGTTATTTGCATAATAAATGCATATCTTATGAGCTTAACTCATAACTGATAATTAACAATATATATCCAGCCCATATACATACAGGAAGTTGTAAAATGTAAAAAGAGTAAAAGTGTGTAAAGGTGAACTGAAACATCAGTTTTTAAGATAAAGTAACAATAGACTAGTAGGTATTTATCTTCTGAGATGTGTTGTGCAGCCAATTAAAAAATGAATGTTTATTTTACACGGTTTTCGTCCTGGCCGTGGAACACTGGACCAGCTCTACACTCTCAGCAGGGTCCTGGAGGGTGCGTGGGAGTTTGCCCAACCAGTCTACATGTGCTTTTTGGACTTGGAGAAGGTGTTGGACCGCGTCCCTCGGGGGACCCTGTGGGGGGTACTCTGGGAGTATGGGGTACCGGGCCCTTTGATACGGGCTGTTAGGTCCCTGAATGACCGGTGTCAGAGCCTGGTCCGCATTGCCGGCAGTAAGTCGGGCTTGTTCCCGGTGAGAGTTGGACTCCGCCAAGGTTGCCCTTTGTCACCGATTCTGTTCATAACTTTTATCAACAGAATTTCTAGGCGCAGCCAAGGTGTTGAGGGGATCCGTTTTGGTGGCTTTAGGATTGTGTCTCTGCTTTTTGCAGATGATGTGGTCCTGTTGGCTTCATCAGATCGTGATCTACATCTTTCACTGGAGAGGTTCGCAGCCGAATGCGACGCGGCCGAGATGAAGATCAGTTCCTCCAAATCCGAGGCCATGGTCTTGAGCCAGAAAAGGGTAGAGTGCCCTCTCCGGGTCAGGGAGGAGGTCCTACCCCAGGTGGAGGAGTTCAAGTATCTTGGGGTCTTGTTCACGAATGAGGGAAAAATGGAGCATGAGATCGATAGGCGGATAGGTGCAGCATCTGCAGTGAAGCGGGCGCTGTACAGGTCTGTCGTGGTGAAGAGAGAGCTGAGTCAAAAGGCGAAGCTCTCAATTTACCGATCGATCTACGTTCCCACCCTCATCTATGGTCATGAGCTTTGGGTTGTGACCGAAAGAATGAGATCTCGGATACAAGCGGCCGAAATGAGTTTTCTCCGCAGGGTGTCTGGGCTCTCCCTTAAAGACAGGGTGAGAAGCTCGATCATCCGGGAGGGACTCAGAGTAGAGCCGCTGCTTCTACACGTCAAGAAGAGCCAGTTGAGGTGGCTTGGGCATCTGTTTAGGATGCCTTCTGGACGCCTCCCTGGTGAGGTGTTCCGGACACGTCCCACAGGAAGGAGGCCCAGAGGAAAACCCAGGACACGCTGGAGGGACTATTTTTCTCGGCTGGCCTGGGAACGCCTCGGGATTCCCCCGGAAGAACTGGCCCAAGTGGCTGGGGAGAGGGAAGTCTGGGCCTCCCTACTTAGGCTGCTACCCCCGCGACCCGACCCCGGATAAGCGGAAGAAAATGGATGGATGGATGGATGGATGGATGTTTATTTTACAGCGAAACAAAACATGTTTTACAAATTTGATGTATGTGTAGTGTATGTAAACACAGGAAATAAAACTGTACCACTGTACAAACAAGTTGTTTACAGCAAAACTGCAGTTGTTTTATTTTAAAGATGGCTCATAAACAGAAAAAATTCAGAAAGTTTGTGTCTGAAAATGACTGGCATTTTAGTAGGAACTCGTTAGAAAACACATCTTGTCTGGTTTTCCCACCACAGGCTTTCTTTGAGAACGATTACTGGGTTCGATACTTCCTGCACACCGGTCATCTGACTATCGCCGGCTGCAAGATGTCCAAATCTCTCAAGAATTTTATCACCATAAAAGAAGCTTTGGTAAAAAACACAGGTGAGTCAGCTGCTGCTTGATGTCGTTAATGGAGTGTAATCAGTGCTTTTGATCTGTTGTGGGATATAACTACAGTGAGGAAAATAAGTATTTGAACACCCTGCGACTTTGCAAGTTCTCCCACTTAGAAATCATGGAGGGGTCTGAATTTTTCATCTTAGGTGCATGTCCACTGTGGGAGACTTAATCTAAAAATAAAAATCCGGAAATCACAATGTATGATTTTTAAAATAAATTATTTGTAGGGATGCACTGATCCACTTTTCTAACTTCCGATCCGATCCCGATACCTAAATCTGAATCTGAATATCGGTCGATACCGATCCAGTTCCGATATCATCATCATTGATTTTATATGATGCTGTAATAATCTCCTCTCAAGTACAATTTGTACAAATATATGCATGCATGTCCAAAAAGGCAACTTGAGGTAAGTTTTATTAATGTTGGATAAGTTTTAAAGTTAGAATTAAATTCTAACACAAAACATGTTTTTTTTTTATTCCTAGCTTTAAAGTGGATATTAAAGTGATTGATTGTTTAGTTATTTTATATTTTTTTAAACAAGGGGCAGGTATAAGAATTTTTTTCTTCTTTCTTCACTCTTTTCATTCAATGTTTCCTTTTTAATTATTTTTTTTTATTTTTATTTTTTTAAATGAATGAATAAATGAATTAAATAAAATAAAATGTTAAATGACTTCAAATACCTGCTAAGTTCATGGCATAAACCAACAGACATTTTCCTGTTTTTAGTATGTTATCTCACTTTATAATGTAGCTGTTTTTGTTTCGTTTATATATATTTATATATATATATATATATATATATATATATATATTATATAATTTTCAAATCATATGTTTTTATTTTGTTTTTTATGATTGTCCACTGTTGTTCTGATAAATATCTCTGGAGGGTAAACTATATCTTGGCTGCAAGTATCAAGCTGAGAAATCCTTCATTTTCTACAACTGATAGTGGTTGGTCATTAATTATGATGAAGTTTAGCAACTTCTTTCTTGCTCTGTGGTTTCAGCTATGTCTACTTCTTGTTCAAGCCAAAGCAAGCAGCCTGATTTCGGTCAGCTGCGCTGAGTCTGTCCCTCCTCAGAGACGGGCAGATTGACCTAGGCAGATTGAACACGGCTGGCCGGGGTCGAGTCGCCTGTTTTGGGTTGAGCAAGGAGCAGCACCCCGCTGAAGCCACGGAGCTCGAATGTCCAACATAAAACTAACTTTACCGTGGTTTAATGTGACGCTATGGCTCTGCAGGTTGCACGTTGCCGTCTTGTTTTGTGGTGTTTAGTGTAAAATACTTCCACACAGCGGACATGTTTAGATGAAAAGTTTGTTAGCTGTTAGCCACAGTGCTGCTAACTCAGTCCTCACATTGTAGCTGCTGCAAACTATGAACTGGATTTCCTGAATGTGAGGCGGGTCTTATTACTCTGGGTTCATGAGACACGACTCCGTTCAGGAAATCCATTCCATAGTTTGAAGCCAACTTGCGTCATGGATCGGAAATATCCGATACGTAAATTATGCTGGTATCGGAGGCCGATACGGATACTGGATCGGATCAGCCCCATCTCTATTTATTTGTGTGTTACTGCTGCAAATAAGTATTTGAACACCTGTGAAAATCAATGTTAATATTTGGTACAGTATCTTTGTTTGCAGTTACAGAGGTCAAACGTTTCCTGTAGTTTGTCACCAGGTTTACTGCAGCAGAGATTTTGTCCCATTCCTCCACAGATCTTCTCTAGATCACCAGGTTTCTGGGCTGTCGCTGAGAAACACGGAGTTTGAGCTCCCTCCAAAGATTTTCTATAGGGTTTAGGTCTGGAGACTGGCTAGGCCACTCCAGAACCTTGATATGCTTCTTA